GCTATGGCACAAAAGGATTACTCATATTCATATGGAACATTTGAATAAATTAGTAAAGCATGATTTAGTCATTGGCTTGCCAAAGATAAAGTTTGTCAAAGATAAGTTGTGTGATGCTTGTCAAAAAGGGAAACAGAGCAAGTCAACTTTCATATCTAAAAATATGGTGTCCACTACAAGGCCACTACAACTGTTGCATATGGACTTATTTGGTCCATCAAGAACACGAAGCTTCGGAGGTAATATATATGTTTTAGTTATTATTGACGATTCCTCTAAATATACTTGGACATTCTTTTTGGTGCAAAAAGTGATGCATTCAAGGCGTTCAAGAAATATGAGAAGCAAATCCAAAATGAGAAGTCACTAACAATTGCCTCCATAAGGAGCAATCATGGTGGAGAATTCCAAAATGCTCATTTCGAAGAATTTTGCGAAAAACATGGAATTTCTCACAATTTCTCGGCACCAAGAACTCCTCAACAAAATGGTGTTGTAGAAAGAAAGAATAGATCATTGGTGGAACTTACAAGGACAATGCTTAGCGACTCAAATCTTCCGAAATATTTTTGGGCGGATGCGGTAAGTACGTCATGCTTTGTAAGTAATAGAGTAAATATTAGACCTATTCTTAAAAATACTCCTTATGAACTTTTCAAAGGGAAAAAACCAAATATTGCTTTTTTTCACATATTTGGATGCAAATGTTTTGTCTTGAACAATTACAAAGACAATCTTGGCAAGTTTGATGAGAAATTTGACGAAGGTATACTTCTTGGTTATTATTTTTCAAGTAAAGCTTATAGAATTTATAATAAATAAACTTTAACTATTGAAGAATCAATACATGTAAAATTTGATGAATCTAACCCCTCAAAGGAGGAAATTATTTTATGTGATGATGATGATGATATTATACATATTCCTAAAGAAGATACTTCCAAATAAAAATATGATAATCAACCAAAGCATCAAGAAGAACGAATTCAACAAGAAACCAATAACAATGATCTACATAAGGAATGGAGAACTCATAGAGATCATCCAATTGATAAAGTAATTGGTGATATTAGTCAAGGTGTTACAACTAGACTAAATCTCAAAGATGCATGCTTGAATATGGCATTTGTTTCATAAATTAAACATTCCAAAGTTGATGAAGCCTTAGGAGACGACCAATGGCTTATTGATATGCAAGAAGAGTTAAACAAATTCGAAAGGAATCAAGTTTGGGAACTTGTTCCTAGGCCAAGTAATAAACACATCATCGGTACCAAATGGGTGTTTAAGAACAAACTTGATAAGAGTGAAATAATTATTCAAAAAAAAATTAAGATTGGTGGCCCAAGGATACAATCAAGAGGAAGGAATTGATTTTGAAGAAACATTCGCTCTGATTGCAAGGTTAGAAGCTATCTGTTTATTACTTGCTTATGAGTGTTCATTGAATTTTCAGTTATTCCAAATGGATGTCAAAAGTGCATTCTTGAATGGCTACATTAATAAAGAAGTCTATGTCAAACAACCCACTGGATTTGAAGACTTCAAGAATCCTTCATATGTCTTTAAGTTGAAGAAATCTCTTTATAGCCTAAAGCAAGCACCAAAGGCATGGTATGACCGACTTAGCAACTTTCTTTGCGAAAGAGGATTTGAAAAAGGTAAAGTAGATAAGACCTTATTCATTAAAAGAATTAAGGTCAACACTTTATTGGTTCAAGTCTACGTTGACGACATCATATTCGGTTCGACAAATAAAGATCTTTGTGAGGAGTTCTCATTGATGATGCAAGGAGAGTTTTAGATGTCTATGATGGGTAAGATGAACTATTTTCTTGGATTACAAATTAAAAAGTTAAAGGATGGCATCTTCATCAACCAAGCCAAGTATTGCAAAGAGTTGTTGAAGCGATTCGACATGGATAGCTGTAAAGCAATGTCTACTCCAATGGGATCTGAAACTTATGTTGATCAAGACAAATCAGGTGTTTCAATTGATGTTACAAAGTACCGAGGTATGATTGGTTCTTTATTATATTTGACGGTAAGTCGTCCTGACATAATATTCAGTGTGTGTTTATGTACCCGTTTTTAAGCAAGTCCGAAGGAGTCACATCTCACCGTTGTTAAAAGAATCATGAAGTATCTCAAAGGAACGACCAATGTTGGGATATGGTATCCAAAAGATAGTATATGTGATTTAGTTGGTTATTCTTACTCAGATCATGCAGGTTGTAAAACTGATAGAAAAAGTACAAGTGGAACATGTCACATACTAGGGAATGCATTAGTATTTTGGTCTTGCAAGAAGCAAGCCTGTGTCGCACTTAGTACAGCTGAAGCAGAATACATTGCAGCAGGTAGTTGTTATGCACAAATGTTATGGCTCAAACAACAACTACATGATTATGGACTTAATCTCGGGTGCATTCCTTTACGATGTGATAACACAAGTGCGATTAATATAACAAAAAATTCAGTTATGCATTCAAGGACGAAACACATTGACATACGACATCACTTCCTAAGTGATCATATACTTCAAAAGAATGTCGAAGTCACCTTTGTGGATACACATAATCAACTGGTAGACATCTTCACAAAACCACTCGCTAAAGAAGCATTTTACAAAATTCGAAGGGATCTTGGCATTTTAGATGAAGGCGACGTTTGAATCTTCAATAAATATTTCATTATTTTCAAAAATAATGTCAAGGTACACAATTTTTAGTTTCTTTAAAATTTTCACAATTTGTCTAAATGTGTATACTGTGAAAATTATACATATCTTGATTTTACATGAGCTTAATCTATGTTTTTGGTTCACCCAAAGTTGCATTTTGATTCAACATGTAATGTTAATTTAAATTAAAATGGAAAACATGTATTTGTTGAGTTATATATTTGCTATTTTTGTGTGTGTGGTAATCGGTTACACCAAGTGGGTAATCGATTACCCTATTGTTTATTTTATTTCCTGGACGCGTATTTGACTTGGTAATCGATTACCCATATATGGTAATCGATTACCACTGCTATGTTTGTAATTTTTTTTATAAAAAAAAAAATTAAAATACTTTTCCCACCCTTTTTGTTAGTGACAAGGGGGGAGAAGAGTTGTGTTGTATGGTATTATGCTTTTGCTTTTCTAACAAAAGATGCAGATTTTCAAGACCTCTCTAAAATCATGGTTTAAGGGGGAGCATTATCTAAGGGGGAGCTTTTGTTCGAATAACACAGAAGAATCAAACTTTCAAAATAGTTGTCATCATCAAAAAGGGGGAAAATGTGAAGACATGACTTCTCAAAGATTTTGATGACGACATATATTTCTCAGCTCCAGGATGGCTAAAAGAATTTCAAAAAGACCAAGATCAAGATCAAAGACCCATATTGTCAAAGAAATGTATCAAGTCTTGATGAAAATGTGAAGATGGTTTAACACAAAGAAAATGCATGACATTCAACCTTTATATAGTTTTTGTAAGTGTTCAAAATCCTTCTCATTCTTTGCATATTCATTGAAAAAAGTTTTGTGCATTTTCAAAACCTTTCTGCCTCTTTTTTAAGGTTTTTTTTGGCAAAACTGACTTAGAGTAATCGGTTACCCTAACTTGGTAATCGATTACCCTGAAGAAATTTTCAATCTTTTTAAAACGTTGAGGCATTTAATCGATTACCCACTTGGGGTAACCGATTACCACTGGCGTAGCAGGCCAAAAACTTGCATCTCTTGGCAAAAACTTGTGTTTTCTTTTATTCTTAAACCATGACATTTCTTGATCAATTATACTCCTTTGAAGAGGTGTTTAGAGGTTATATAAACCTCATAATCTCAGTCTTTGAGATTCACCTTCTTGCAAATGATTTTCAAACTTTTCATTATCATTAAATTTTCAATTTATCAAGTGTGAAAATCAGAATTTTCAAAGAGTGAAACTTGTGCATTTAAACTTTCACCCAAATCATTTTATTTTCATTCTTCCATCTAAGAACACTTGTATATCCTGTATAAGAGTTTGTTTGTTCAAGAAGAAGATCAATCTTTAGATTGATAATTTAAAATCAACTTCAAATACTCCTACAAAATTTAGAATTAAGTATTTTGCTTATTGCATCTTATTTTTAGGATTGTTGAATCTAAGAGTGTAAAATTGTATTCCTTGCTGTCCAGGATTGTTGGAAGCAAGAGAGTGATTAAGAGAGGATTGTTCTCTTATTTTACTTTGTTGTAAAATCCAAGAGGATTGTTCTTGTTGTGATTGTTAGAGTCTGTAGAGAAAGGCTAAGATAGTGTTGTCATAAGATCTAACATTATTAAAAATTTCTTTCATGTTGAAAGGAAACTGGAGTACTCTCTGACTGTGAGGGGAATCAGAATATATCACTGTGTCATTTACTTTCCGCATTTATTGCTTTCATCACAGAGTAATCTATTAAGAAATTAAAACTTGAAACCATCAAAAATTCAAAAAAATCTTTAAGTATCTAATTCACCCTCTCTTAGTTGCATATTTTCCTAACAAATTAGGTTATTGTCCAATTCAAAACAATAATAATAAGAGTTTGTTTATATTTATTTTAAAAAATATATAGATTTAATTTTAAATAGAGTTGCAATGTGAAATTGCACCCATTGAAGAAGAGAAAAAGGTGACAGTGTGAAATTGAGAAAGTAACAAAAAGTTGAAGCTTTTAAGAGACAGATATAAAGAATTAATATAATAATAAAAAAGCGAAAGAAAAAGATAGAAGAAGAAGAAAGAAGAAAAAAGAAAGCACACGAGATTATAAACGAACACACACAGCAGAGCACGCTTTTCTTACCCAAACACATTCCTTTCCACGCATCTTCTTCTTCTTCTTTTTATCTCTTCACTCAGATAGTCTCATGAATTTCTCGCTCTTCTATTCTATCCCGTGACTCTCTCTCTCTTAAATTAAAATTAACTAACTAACTCTTATAATACAATTCTACATGATTTTGATTTCTAACCACCATGCGTTCGCCTGATCCACTCCGAAACGGTGTCGACAACAACCGTTCACCCTCCGCTCCTCGTTTCCACTCCACCGTCGCTGAACATAAACTCCTTCGCTTCAATTCACTCATCCTCGTTTTCCGTCTCACTTCCTTTTCATTCTCACTCGCTTCCTCCGTCTTCATGCTCACCACTTCTCGAACCTCCGGTTCTCCTCACTGGCACCACTACGACACCTTCAGGTAACTAACTCTATTTTCATCTCAATTTCAACCAAATTTAACTGATGTTACTATTATCGAATTGAAACAGATTCGTTGTTGCTGCGAATGCGATTGTAGCTGTATATTCTCTATTCGAAATGTGTGCTTCCGTTTGGGAAATTTCAAGAGGCGCAACGCTTTTTCCTGAAGTTTTGCAAGTTTGGTTTGATTTCGGCCATGACCAGGTCAGAAACATGCACAATTTCGTTTATCTAACTGTATACTCCCTGTTTGCTGATAATAATGTGCGGCGGCGGTGGTGATTGTGGCGGTGCAGGTGTTCGCGTACCTGCTTTTATCGGCGAGTGCGGCGGGGACGGCGATGGCGAGGACGCTTAAGGATATGGACACGTGTACGGTGAGCAATTCGTTCTGTGTGCAATCGGACATAGCAATATCGTTAGGATACGCGGCGTTTCTGTTTCTAGGGTTTACTTCGCTGTTATCTGGATTCCGTCTCGTATGTTTCATAATCAACGGTTCTCGTTTTCATCTCTGAATGAAAAAATTTCCGAGGAGTTTTGCGTGGAAACGACGCCGTAGATGAATGAATGCCGGGGAATATTTGTGTGGGGTCAGGAGCATTCTTTTCTTGGTACTCTCAATTGGATGTGATTTGATTTGGACCGTCACGATTGCGGAAGAACTTGAGTTGAAAATATGCGCGTGATTTTGATTTTTGAGCTTATACTATAGATTATTGTAGCAAAGGTACTTGTAACACCTATTTTACTCCAATAATTTTATTGATTTTTCTACTTAATAATTCCATTACTAGCTAGATTGTATTTTCAAACGGATTAGATAGCGGGTCAATTTTTCAACTAAATCGATTATGAAAATTGTAATACGGGGGAGTATACACTTCATTTGTAATTATTTTACATTTTAAATCGGTCAAGGTGAGTGTGGTACTCCTTCAAAGTGCACCATGATATAAATTAAGAGGACTTTTTATTATACATTAGATGCCAATTAAAAAAACATACAAAATTTTAAAAATGTCTTAATTTTTAAAAATATATTTTCGGACACATTTCATTATACATATTTCATTCATTTTTAAAATATATTATATTTTTTTTAAAAAGATCAAAAATATATTTTTAAAATTTCTGGTTTAATAAAAAGTGATGTATTGTGATCTTACCAGATCAAAAAGAGATCAGTAATCAGCAACGCGTTTTAAGTTTCTATTTTGCCAGTGTTGGAAAAGAAGGATTGTACTTATAAGACACTCCGATGTTAAAGTAAGTTTTAGCAGGAGAGAGAAAACAAATACAAAAAAGCAAAGAGAATAGAATATCTGACCCTCTAGTGAAAAATGGTATTTATAATGTACCTCTAGAGCTGGATCAACGATTATTTGCATTAGATTGGATCATTAAGCTCAATACGAAAAACTGCTAGAATCTATGTGGCGTAGAAAAATCAACACGTGGTCTTCATCTTGGTCCAACTGTCCTGTGAACTCCGGAAGGTGGAAGGCATGTTTTCTCAGACGCCGGAAGTTGGTTAAGGACGTATCTTTGCGTAGGGAGCACGTGGAGACCGTGGAGGAAACACGTGAGAGCTCCTCGTGTGAGATGGTGAATTAGACCTTCATTAAGCCCCCCTAAGGGGAGTTGGGTTGCGTCATGCCCGACAGTGTGTCAGGCTTTGGCACAGCCTAGAGTAGGAGCCCCCAAGTCGTTGCTCCGAAGTGTAGGAGTAATGACTTAAGAGTCAACTCTTGTATCGAGGAGGGGATATCTGATGCGTTGCTCGTTCTTGAGGCGCTAGCTCGCTGGGCTATTTGGAATCATTCGCATAAGCCATTAATCGTGGTTAGGGATGACAATTGTACCCATCTCTAGTGGGTATCCGCAAAATTTACCCACAACGGACAATGTAAAATCCCGCAAAATGGGTACGGGTACGGACACATGCAATTACCCACTAAAATAAGCGGATATTGGTGCGGGTACGGGTATCTTAGTACCTAGCCCGCCTATTACCCGCACGATATATATTTATATATTTTCATTTTCATTATAATATACATATACTAATCTAATAAATTTATTAAATAAATTCCTATTAAATTTCAATCCACTTTAATATAAATGTTTGTTTATTTCTTAACTCAACAATAACATTCTCAATTTTTTAAAATATTGTTAAAAAATTAAAATGACATGATAAATTATAATTGATCGATCATTTTTTATTAAAAATGCGGGTGAACGGGTATGGGTACTTAGGTATCCATAGGGTACGGGTACGAGCTCAAACATTGGTGCCCATGTGGGTATGGGATCAGATACATGGATTTTTTTTTAAATCCCGAGTTTGGGGATGAGTACTATAGTACCCTGCCCATTGTCATCCCTAATTGTGCTAAACAATGAGCTTCGTCCGTGGTCGAGGATGGAGTCTGTCAGGAGTTTATCCCGAGGGTAGGTGCTTGCTACACGCATACATGTGTCGCAACTGCGAAAAAATAACCGGCGGAGAAAATAGAAGAGTCGCCACCGAAAGTTATTTATCCCAACGAAAGGAAAAGAAACGATCGAAGAAAACCTAAAAGAAGGGAGAAGACAAGGTCATCGCATCTAAATCTTGGGTTCGGGAGTCGGTTACACAAGGGGAAGGTATTAGCACCCCTCACGTCCGTTGTACTCAACGGGATCCACGCTTGTTGTCTAATCAAAGGGTGAGTCATCTAAAGGCTACTGCTAAACAGAAATAGAAAAGGGAAAAGAAAAAGGAGACTCGATAGGACATCGCCGCCCCATGCCTACGTATTCCCTCGTGCAATGGGAAAGTCAGAGTCAACGTAGTTCGGGAAGCTACGGGTGAAGGGGGAGGTTGCTCGCCAAGACCTCGTCGTCTTGTGCCTACGTATTCTCATCTGGTATGAGAAATCAGAGTAAACGTAGTTTGGGTAACTAAACCACAAGTTGGTTAAGTGTTTTATGAGCCACATTAAGCTCCAATTCCATCAGTTAGGGTCGATGCCTGTTTGTGATAAAACGGAAAAGTAACGTAGTCTTTTTTGAAAATGAGTTTGAAGAGCAATCCTGAAGGATAAAAAGGTTTGAAGTTTGTTTGCGAGTTTTAGTGAAGTGAATTAACAGAATTTAAAATTCACGTTGCACTAAAGAAAGGGAAATGTTCAAGCAAGGCACAAGGCACAAATGGTCAAGCAAGGCATACCATATCATTAAGATCAGAATCAAACCCAAATGATACACATCATACTCATATCCAAGACATCAACCAAATTTAAAAAGAATCAGATTCAAGACCATGCACAAAAGGTTAGGCAAACATCCCTCAAGTTATCCATAAAAGAAACAAGTGATTATGTGAAGTAAGTGAGACAAAGTGATCATGAAATGAACCTCTAAACATGAAGGTCAGAACCTTAAACAAGTCAATACAAGAGTCATAAAGCATTCATTAGACCATATTGTTGCACCCTAATTTTTGACCTTAAGATCTCACCCCTTGTGCGTTCAGTACATGTTGGCTTTATAATTTTATATGTGTGTTCGCTTATGACTAACTAGTGTGTGCAGCTGCAGTAATGTCAAGTATGTATCTTCACAGTTAGGTACTTCAAGATGTGTCTTTAGGTTCAAGACATAGTTTGCATATCAAGGGACATCATCGCCCAAAAAGTTTGAATTGTCATTTATAAGACAGAGTCCATTTTGTTGATACGGCAAGTAGGGATAGGAACCATGATTGAAGCTTGAGTATTTTGTTGTCAAGACAAAGTTAATTTAACTCATTGACTTACAAAACCGTTAAATCATGGAAGGACTCACGAGATTCGGAAGAGTTCTCCAAAGTCAAATCAATGCATTATCTTCCTTACAGGGATCGGTTTCTATTGTGGAATTATATTACGAGGTATCACGACACCTTTTTGTAAACTCAACTCAAGGTACCATTTCAAGACAAGAAGGGTTAAATTCAAAGTTTTAAGGAACAACAAATGCCAAGGCTTGCAATTCATTTTAATTCAAGAATCCCGTTCAATATCTACAAGCAGCCATGGATACAAGTCGACTTTGTATTGCCACAATTGATCTATTGTTATTACAAGGTTATCATGAATTTAGAGTTCAAATCCACCGATTTTATTACCCAAAAGATACAGGATACGAGTACCAAGGACACAAATGCTACAATGGGAATATGATAGAAGATTTATAGAAATTACAACTACAATCTATATGCCTCATGAAACTATCCTTGTCAGACATGAATGACGAAGCCAACGCTGCAACTTCGCTTCATTGCAAGACCACACTTTGTCCTAACCAATACAAGCTTCATTCCCTAATGAACTAAAACCGTACGACAAACCGTCATGTTATTCTTTCCGGGCTCACTTTCCAAACCTGCCAATAGAATTTGATAAAGTCAGTAATATAATGTTACAATCTACATTTGAAGGGATTTCTTGCAACACTGTACCCAAATCTCATAAAGAACCTCGTTTACATCATCATTGATTCAATTACGTGTTCATACAATAATTTACAAAAGAATTTAAGGTCTAGGGATATCCCTTATATCTTGGTGGAATAAATCGTCTTGATACCATTTGTGCCGTAAGAGCGCTTGAGGAAAGGACGTTGTCGGAATTCATGAATCATGTTGGAATTTGCTACGAACAATGAGTTATCAAACAAGCTACAAGTTCATAACCCTAAGCTCCTCCGTGTTACCACAATTAAAGCACTCAGAGGTGCACTCTGCCGTTTTCGCATATGGCCATAGCAAGGATCCACGCACCAAGACGGAAGCGGCTTCAAGCCTTTGATCAAGTTGAAAGCCATAGGCAGTCGTTGTTCCAAAGCTGTTTCAAATATAAAAAGAAAGATTGTCGTCACAAACGGAAAAGAAATCATTCATGACTAAGGAAGCATAGCATGTCTAAAATGCACCATCATTTCAGAGTACAATCCACAAGAGGCAATTCAAGGCAATATACATGCTTGCGATTTGGCGAAATTGACGGTATATAGTGGACCATATCAGCCAACCCTGTTCCTTCACTTTCGGATCTCCTTGTTGGAACACATGTAATAAGAGGCCTGGCACGCAAAAGAGAAGATTTCTAGGAGGATTTTGGGGTAATTACCAACTGTCACAAGAAGAATAAAACAGTGTTAGTACCGAAAACATACAGGTGAAGCTATAACAATATCACGTCTTTAACTCACTTTGTAAAGACAGAATAACTCACTTTGTAAAGACAGAACAAGTTTCTCCAAGATAGGCGAGCACAAAGAACACCATGTCACCATCTATCGTTTGAATTAGAGGAAGTATATTATGATGAGGTTATAAACAGGATGTTGTTCTTTAATTGAACCTAAACAGCAGTTCAAACCAAGAATTTAAGAAAAGAGGAAAGACTGTCATTACCAATGTCGGATAGCATGAGCTGGCCTTGTCCGATATTTACGGCTGCTATGAATTTTCTACAACACATGCCAAGCTGCTCCTTATACCAGACGTATCCACGTTCTTTTCATGTATTGTTGCAGTTGCCACCTCAACAACTGGAAGTGCACTCAACAGGCATGCTAATCTCAGAGCGCCCCTTGCTTCTTATACCAACCAATCAACCGTAAAATCTTCAATTAGTAGATCAACTTTAGTTGTTCTTGGTCCTGCAAATGAAACACATGTGCAGCAACATTTGTCAGCATCATCATTGCATCATTCTGAGAAGGGTGCTTCAGTTAGTGGGGCAAAAATTTAGTCCATGGCATGAAAATATGATCGATGATATCGGCCAATTTCCGGGGTTTTACAAACCAAACAGAAAACTCACAAAAGGGAAGGATCATACTATTTCAGTAGTCGCAAATATGCACCTGAGAGATCAATACGCAGGTTCGGCAGTTGCAACATCAGAAATACCTACATACAAAAGGCAAAACCATACTGGTGAAATGAAGTAGATGATAAACTGAGTAAGACGCATAGGCGCAGAAGGTATCGAAGAACAAAGTATTACAAACCAGTGATCAAAATCGTTTGGCATTCGAATTCATCCCTGCTCTGGCCCTATCATTCTATTCCAACAATGCGCCACCTTTGAGCTTCCTTGCTTCTGGAACACTGTGAAGAAACATTGAAATCGCAGACACAGTAGTAATAGGCAGATTATGCGAAACAATATCAACAAGACAATTTGAGACTACGCCAAGTTCAATGTGGCGGCTACTGAAAGTAAGAGTTTTGTGTCGTACCTTAACTCGACTTCAAGCCAAAATCAATAATTAGCCAAAGCAGCATATGGAAGAACATTCATGAGAACATGCTAACAATACTTGCTGATAAGTACTCAATCAACATTGAATCAAAAATAACTTTTAAAAGAGAGGATTCAAGGTTCAAAAAGATCTTACACCATTACCACTTGAGGTTGTAATCTTGACAAAGCATTCAACACTTCTTCTTTTATATAGCAACGGTCGTCGGAACTTTTGGCAGTAACGGCAGTCGCTTCGGGACTTCAGTAGCAGCGACCTCCATGTTAACGCTTTAAACTCCTCTTCTGCAGCTTGGCCTGCTCAATCAGAAAAAAGGATAAGTTTCACATCTCACCAATGAAGCAAAGTTCTATCAACTGCAATAGCCATAATTTCATGTACCATTTTGTTTAGATACGTCACAATGCATTGGATTATAAAACAAACTTAACAACTGCAAGGAGTTTAACCAAAATGTATACAACCACCAACTCACAATGTTATCAGCTTCCAAATCCATCATACACATGTTGTGCTCATGGCAGCAATCCCCACCTCAGTTACAACAACTCGCCAACCTGCCACACAAAAAGAAACGAACTCGTTATTCAAAGATACGTAAAAGAAGAATTCACTAGAAGCCGAAGGCTAGCAAGAATCACCGGCAACTTTGACCTTCAAACACAAGCCAATTTGGTAATCTGAGGAGAAGAGTTATCATTGGAATCTCAACATAGATGATAGTCTTAAGTTCATTACCCGCAGCTGTGGTTGGCCTCTCGAGGGTTTGAACCTAGCGCCACAATCTGGATGAAGCTTTAACAATACCGCGAGATGACTCAATACCGACATAAGCCCAGTTCTGTCCCAGACCTCACATCATGCTTTTGCTTGAAATTACTGTCAACCTTTTGTGCAGAAATGTTCATGCTTCCAAATTTGGTGGGTGGCATCTTCTTGTTCTCCTGCAAAGAATTCATTAAAACCCGTGCTTAAGTAGAGAGAATTGAATTCGCAGAGAAATACCAAAATCAGACAATTGAAAAACTTCCAAATGAATGCTTTCAAGGCTTTAAATTATTTCCAAAACAACTCTAAGCGTAATCCCGACATATTGGCAGACAAAATAGAAATTTTCTGGATGCTATGAGACGAAAGTAGAAGGTATTCAATGCAATGTTTGGCCATTCAAATGTGAAGATTCTTCATCGAAGGCCTATAAAAGATGGCAAGCAGAGCACGAAAATCAATAGATATTCGCGCAAGATTTCAACACCATACACTCACAAAAAATTATAGAATTTCATTAAAAGAAAGAGAGAACTTATCTGTTTTAGAGTTTCATCGCCGGAAAACATCATTTCCATCCGCGAATCCACGGAGCTTACGAACCAGCCTACCACCGCCATCAACCATCGAACCCCACTGGAATCCCGTGAAGCCGCCGCAAAGACACCGACGAATCCCTAATTATCGTCACCATGGGGAACCTTCTCTCTAAGCGATATTTTCATTTTTGCGTTTGATTTTGTTTTGTGTTTTCGTTAGGTTATGTGACAACGGGGAAACGAAGAATAGATGAGTAAGAAATGAAGGAAAGAAAGATTGATGAAAACGGAAAGAAGAAGACGCGACGAGAAGGGAGATCGCGAAGACGGAGAAGTGGATTCGAGAAGGAGAACGAGAGACAAAGACGGATCGGAGAAAGAGGGGAAATTGGGGGAGCTCTAGGGTTTCTTTTTTTTTAATTTTTATATTGTAATCTTGTATGCGCACATACACACTAATTATCGTGCACCCTCATGACACACACCACATGATCTGTTCTCAGATCAGATCGCATGACTCATATCATAGCCCTACAGTAAGCCCTCTCCAGCACGCCCTCACCCAATCACTCGCCTACCCTAATCAGTCGTTTAATCCAGACAATTAACCACTAACCTTTTTATTTAATTGGTTAACCACCTTTTTTAATCTGCCATTTTATTTAAAAGAAAGCCATCAACCTTTTAACTAATAATTTAACTTTTATCTAAAATAAACTAATAACTTTTGTTTAGTTAACCATTTTAAATTAATCTTTATCATAGTAATTAAGAAAAACTTTTTAATTTAATAAATCTATTTATTAACATTTTTTTAGTAGAACCTTTTCTTAAGTAATCTAACCTTTATCTAATTAATCTACAACAATGACTTTTATTTAATCTAATAAACCTTTTCTTTAAAAATAATAACATATCAATTTGTTTATCCTTTTACATTTAAATTAATAAATAATAATAAATAACCTTTAATTTAAATTAACTTTTTTTTATATAATAAAAAAAAAATCCTTTTATAATAACTCAAGATCTACTTGATAATTAGTAAGAAAACTACTTTTTAAGTAATAATCAACAATTTATTTAGCAGCTCATTACTTGAAAATCATTCCCATTTAAATTAATTCATAACCCATTTAATTAATAAGTAACTTAGAAATATTTTCTATCCAACTTAATTAACCTTTTTTATCATTTTTAAAACCTTATTCACACTTTTATCTAAATTAATTAATTCAACATTTCTCTTAAAATCAATTCATTTATAATTTATTCATCTAATATAATCTCCCCATAAAATCAATTTAACTTTTTTTCTTAAAACCAATTTCACCCAAATATAACTTTTCTCAAATCAATGTCACCTTAAGATTTAAATTAATCTCTTCCTAAAATCAAATCCCCTTAAAACCAATCTCGACTAAAATAATCAACATCGTAAAAAATCAATTCAATCGTACACGCTTTCACCGCCGCTCACATATTCACACTTTCACACACTTTAGCGCTTTCATGCGTTGTGTATGTTTTACATTATCCGCAACTTTATTTTTCGCAATTTACATTATCATATTTATCTTATCGCATCGCATCCGTCCAAAGGAAAAACCTACACATGATTCAACAATTGTATGTAGTGCATATCATTTGCATCATACTCCCACATGATCCTTGATCCCATTCAAGTCGATCTCTAAGTTAGATCCTACCCCATAGGAAGGACCGTTATCTCTTTACAACATAGAAGCAAACAATCAACTCAATACAACAATATTCAAACATAATAGAGAAATAGATGTTAATCATCTTAAGCGAGATAGAATCTCCATCCCACATCAATACAATCAATACCGTAGGAACTTTGCCTTAAGAGAGATAGAGGCGTACATTGTCGATCAATATCCGAGTACTTGAGCCCTTCTCTTAAGACGATGCAAAGACTATTTTCCTACAATTTGTGGCGGTTAAATCTCTCTTAAAATGACAACTCACCTTTTCTCCTAAAATCAATCAAACAACTACCCTAAAACCGTAGGAACTTTGACCACAGTCAAAGAACTCCTCATACCCTTTAGGAGAACTACAAATACTCTGATTCCACTCCCGTAAGGATATGTAGGCATAAGATGCGACACCTTATCGAGTATACTTAGATATAAACCACTAGGTCTTTCAACCATTAAATAGATAAACATTAGCAATAAACAAACATAAAACAAGAGGTTCCTGTAGAGTACTACAGAAACTTAGGATGCTAGCACCTTTCCTAAGTTTAACCGACCCCCGAACCTAAAACTCTCTAGCTTGCATTTGCATTGCATTGTGAGAATTTCGATCTTTATCCCTTCCTGTTGCGGTGGAAATAGGATCACAAACTATTAATGAGTTTGAATCGCAATTCAATTCACAACCGCTCTTTGATTTATCCGAAGGAAAAGGTCAAAAGAGGGAAAACCTATTTTTGCATCGTAAACACAACAGTTTCAGCATCAACAATAACACTACTCGTAATTAAATCCCATTGACCAAATGCCAAGAGTCATAATCCAATAATACCCGATTACGACTGTGCCTTAATAACAGAAACGGAAGCGCTTTGGAAAGAAACCATGAGCGATGGAATGAATCTTAAGTCCAGTTGTGCTCGACAAGTTTTAATACCGACCACATCAAATTGGCACCTTGATACAATCAGACCTGGTGATAGGCAGATGCCTCAGAAATAGTGTCTCAAATGCCTCAAAACTTAATGACAGCCCGTCTTCATGGAATTAACAGAATCCACGTAAAATGACCAGAATACCCCTGGAACCAAATCTGCAAAACAAAACATCTCCATAACTTGTTAGTGGTTAGCAAATGTACATATGGGATGCTATGCGAAATGACTGACTAAATATAAGGGTAAAATTTGGGGTATTACAGTTGCCCCTATTTAAATAGCTACACCGGACGATTTGAGTGACAGAGACTCGAGGAATCGTGGTGGAGAGATTTAAATATAGATAACCGAAAATTTTGCCCTTATATGCGACGATATGCAATGCTATTGGACAGAGCGAGGACAACTTAATGCAGATGATGCCATGAATATGATATGATGCGTATGCTGGAATGATGAATGCGAAAATGATGACAAACGCTACGACACAGACGCTACGAGAAGAACACACTGGGGGAAAATGACGCGCTGAGACACAGTATAACACTGGGGGATTCTAAAAATGATGGTCAACTGGTGCGAACACGACCAACTGCCATTTTGGGAACGAGATTCTCAAATGGAGATGATACCTGTGAGACGGCCTCCACTGGGGAATCTAAAAATAAAACTGGATCACGTACGATTGCAAGATTGGTTACAGAATGCTGGAGCATTGAGCAAAGAATAACATCCAAGCTTCTGTAAACTATCCCTCGTGACAGGATCAAACGGACTTTTCGGAACTCCGTAACAAATATACAGGGTAAAGACCGGCTGTATGCCAAAATAAATGGACTTTGATGGGAAATGCCCTGATAAGCTTCTCGCGGGAGAATTGTCACTTATCGTTGGAAGGGACTTATGTGCCAAAATGGATAAGCACTCAAATAAATAGGCTGCTGCTTATCTGATAAATAAATCTTCTCGTATTTAAGGTCGGCGCCTGGAATACGATTCTGATTCTTCTTTTACTGAAGGATAAATAAACTTCTCCATGCTTCAAGATCGTGCTCTCTTGAACATGAAAAAGGTAAACTGAACTTCCTCATACTTCAGAATCGTGCTCTCCTGAATATGATTCCGCTCTTTCGGGTGAATGAAATTCTTCATACTTCAGAATCGTGCTCTCCTGAATATGAAAATGGCTAATTGAACTTCCTCATAACTCAGAATCGTGCTCTCCTGAATATGATTCGGCTCTTTCTTGTAAATGAAAATCTTCATACTTCAGAATCGTGCTCTCCTGAATATGAAAATGGCTAATTGAACTTCCTCATAACTCAGAATCGTGCTCTCCTGAATATGATTCGGTTCTTTATTGTAAATGAAAATCTTCATACTTCAGAATCGTGCTCTCCTGAATATGAAAATGGCTAATTGAACTTCCTCATAACTCAGAATCGTGCTCTCCTGAATATGATTCGGTTCTTGAAATTTCTTCATACTTCAGAATCGTGCTCTCCTGAATATGAAAAGGATGAACTGAACTTCCTCACA